GGTAGTACATGGGGTCTCAAGCCAAACCATAATAAATCCCATAGCGACCTACGCCGCTCTGGCTTGGTGGCAAAAAGTGGAACAGGTCATAACTTGGCCTCCCCTGACAAGATTTATCTTCTCATTTGTGTTTCTATAAGTGGAGCCATGAGACTTGTTCCATGTATGCCATGGACGTTATATTGCACATTCCAGCACTTCATCTTCTTATCAAGGACGATCTGCAAGCAATTCGCGTACCAGGTATTGACAATTTAAAAACTGGTGACTTGGTTGCACATATGAGAGACTTGTTCCATGTATGCCATGGACATTATATTGCACATTCCACCACTTCATCTTCTTATCAAGGACGAAGCTTGCAGATCAGCAATTCGCGTACCAGGTATTGAAAATTTAAAAACTGGTGACTTGGTTGCACATATGAGTATACTGAAATTATTCATAAACGATCCATATATTCGTGTTCCCGATTGTGGGCCACCATCTATGGTCTTCGTTAGATCATTTGAGATTATCATACCGAACAGGCACAAGTGAACTGACCAAACTTGGTAGCAAGAAAATGCTGATCAAGTTTGGTTCATAGATGGGTCCAAACAAATAAATGGCGAAACAGAAGCGGGCATTTGAGGACGCAACTTCCAAAAGGCCTTCCCCATGGGATATTAGCATTCCGTCTTTCAAACGGAAATATACGCCATCTTTACTTGTGCTAGAGAGTATTTAAGAAGAAGAAACAAGGCATCAAAAATGTTTATAATGTCGGATTGCCAAGTATCATTAACCTCTTAATGTCATAGGAAATTAGGTCGAAAAGCTACTAGCGCTAAATAAAAGTGATCTTAGAGTACTATCGGGATTATTTATTGGACATTGTGGTCTTAGATACCATCATTTCACTCTAGGCAACTCTATAACGAATCTATGCAGATTCTGTGGCCAACAAGAAGAAACCTCAGAAGATATTCTATGTAACTACCCATTATTGGGGTCTCGTAGAGCTAAGATTTTGGGGCTGCCCCAAAAGAAATTTTCAATCTCTCACCAACAAAAACAGTTACTTTCATGCGTGAACTAAAATTATTATGGTGAACCAACGAGCTGCACAAAATTTCCACACTCGGGTCGAATTGCTTTATGCCCTTCAATCTAGTCTAATCTAATCTATCTGCATACCCACCTGTTGAAAACACTATAGGTTCCGAACGGAAGAAACTAAAGGCTGAAATTTCCAACATGTCGGTATTGAATTTGGGAAATATCACACCATAATTTTACCTAGACCCCATATATATGGTATAGGTTAGGTTACTGGGGCAGTTGACAAGAGAGTCGACTCACTCCTTGACCGACCAATGGGAAATTATATGTCCATAATCAATACGGAGTTAAACCAAATGATTCTATTCACTACAACCATCCTCGATAGATCCACTGTGTCGTGCAGCGCCGCACTACTTAGTACTGATAGTCGAGAGGGCGGAACAGTGACAATTTTTTAATAGTTTCTTCCTCGTCTTTATCATGACAACTTCTACAGAAGTCGTTGTATGGAAGATTCAGTCTTTACAGTGCCCTGTCAGAATAACTACTAATATTCGTAGCCTAACTTTTGAAAGCAACAACAAACTAACAAACAAACCTTCTACCATCATAGAGTGGCCACGTCTGTCTAGAAGTTGAGCAAATGGACAGGGATCTCCTTTTGATCGTAGCAAGTGTATTTTCTGAGGTGATTAAATCGTGCGTTTGCCCTTAGATTCTGCATGAATGAAATTTCACATACTTACGTAAATAGATGTCGAGTTTAAGTGTTGAATTTGATCCCCATGGGCCCACCAGAGAAACGAAAATAACCTCTTAATTGTTGAGTTTATCTTTCTATTATAGATACAAATTTTTAAGTCCGCCAAGAATTAATCCTGATTTCGGAGAAAATCTGATCTCATGAAATCTTTTACTAGACCTACATAGTACATAATGTACTATTTCACATCGAGGGTATATTCACTTTTTGTAATTTAGTCACATCATTGCTTAGGGTTTATTTTTATAATCTGTCTCGTCTCTATTTTAGCCTATGGATCTAACTACGTCTCTGTAAATTACAATAAACAAAACAAAAAAAAAACGTCTATACAAATTAATGATCATTTTGACCTATTACATGCGAAAATGAATAAAAATGTTGTCTTATCAACGTAAAGCCTTATTCGTATAAATATAAATTACGTTTTAAAAATAAATAGGAAAAATTCTTTAATGTCTTGATGATCAGAAGAACACAAAAAAACTGCAACATCTAGGAAAATACTAAATAGTACAGACTATTTGTTGGATTTTTTCCGAAAGTAAATACAAACAAATTATTGAGAATTTTAAAGATTATTTATAAGTTAAAAATAAAAACTTCGCATTGTTTTGTACGCAATTAATTTTACGAAGAAAAGATGAAAGATCGCATAAATATATAAACAGCGCAAAAAATTTAATAATATTTTGATTCGAGTGATATGGCTTAATTTGTGATGATAAACATTCGATTCGTTTGGCTTAGAGTTTTAACTTAGGGGGTTTTCAATATTATTATAGTAACCGGTTATTTATTAAAGAAGATTCTGGTTTTGTACCGTTTTAAGATAAAAATCATGCCTTTACGACTATATATATTTGAAAGCACTTATAGATATATATTTTTCCTAAAATTGGTGATGTTGTACCTTTTATTCAGAGACCAAAGTAATAATTTTCTGCAGGATTGAGCTGCGCTTAATCCCATTGAACTTTCATATGGCATAAGGGATTTTATAAATAAAAATGACTTGGCACTGTTACAGGGGTCGCCACTAGGCTAGACAGGTTACATTCTGACAATGACTCTGGCAACCTCTAAGGTATGAATTACTCCTTTAAATACTCACTAGAAGGGGTTGTAACGTGGTAACCTCTAAGACGCTGAAACTTTGGAAATTGTGACCTATAACGGAAAGTTGAACAATAAAGACTGGCGAAGTACAAGTTCCCTCTTCGGTATATTAAGTCGTTGAGAATAAGCTCATGGGGCACAATCATGTCTATCGCATATGGAATTATGCGTCTACCTTATCATAACGACAGATGTTCATATAATAAAGTAATATGTGAAATTAAATTAAAATTATGATCGAAAGAAGGCCAGTTGGTATATTGAAATAGTGAATAAGCCCCGTAAAGAGCCTATGGGGCAAAAGCAAGATGAGAAATCTCCTCGGGACGAGAAGCCTCCTCCTTCTAAGTGAACATAGACGATTACGGACACAATTGTACTAAATTGGACAAGCGGATTCATTCATATGAATGTGGATATTGAAACTTTTGGACACTTGACTTTTGACATTGCTAGGCTTTCGTCGAAATAAGATCCAAATATAATGGGAGTGTTTTTATTCCAGATGTAACATCCATCACGAACAATGACCCAATGAAATTGTGAATACTAATGTAGTGATGTTCAGGTCGATCCGGACAGGTCGATCCGGGATTGATATATTTAACGAAAACCAGAAGGTAATTTGGGCGATATCAGGTAATAAGGTTAAATTTAAGACTGTATTGAATTGATAGGGAGCACTGAAAGTATACTCTTCCACAGATAAACTTTGCATAAACATTTGGGCGCCAAGCCATTCCGGAATAATCAGCTACGAAAGAGTTTTAATTAATATTTAAGATATAATTAAAAATATGAGCGAAAAAACTCATAAGGCCGCTTGGGAACGGCGGGTAGTACCGCAAATATCTTATGGAATTACTCTAACAAGAGCAGGACGAGAAGTTTCCTCAGAATGAGCTATTCCGTAATTTGTATAATGGAACGGAATTACAGACAAAGCTGTGTAGAATTGGATGAGCGGATTCAGATGAATGTAGACCATATTTAGAGAACTCTTTAACACTTTACTTGTCAATTCCAGACTTCCGTCGAAATTAGATCCAAATATCTTGAGAGCTATGTTATTCCAGTTGTAACATCTCTCACGAACATTGTATGAAAAAAAAGCTATGAAATTGTGAATATTACTGTAGTGGAGGTCCGGTCTACTCGGTCAAAGACTGATCAATACAGCATGACATGATCATTAAGCTAAATATCAAGTTTCATGCTAAGGCTCATGGAACTCAAACTTAGTATACAGCTTAGTTCCAACATAATAGTAAGTACGATCCATTAATAACGCATTGTTTAATAATCCATATGAATTCGACAGAGTGTCATACATCTCGACCTTTTTAAGTTCGTGGTGAAAGCCTAGAGACTGCCTATGTTGACTTTAGTGGTTGACGCGTCGAGTTTTAGTTATATATATCCCACGGCCTTACCAATAGCGTAAATTAGGAAACATATGTATCTTGGCTTATCCTAGGAAACCATCAATGAAGACTAAGATCGAGTTATCCGGTGTTTGCACACCACTGTTCTCTTGATGGCATTCTGATTTGGGACTCCCAAATTGGGAGGTCCCATTAAAGTTTAGTAAATGTAGTCTCGGTCTCCCCATTTCTGCTGGAATGGTGCGATGAACCTATGTGATCATATTGTTGTACTCCTGACACTTTAAGACTAAGAGACGATTTAGCAGAAATGCATACAATATTAAAGCAGTGCTTCCTGACTGGCCTGAGGCGTTCACATTCGATTCTCATCATTACATTTCCACGAGAACTATTTGAGTTTCTTTGGCAACTCTAAACTATCAAATCTATGTGATTAGAGGTCTGACTGAATTGACTTTTTTCGTCATTCTACTAAATTACTCTATAGTTGGTGCATAATTGTCCCAAATCAACTTTTATCAATTGGAAAATTTGGCTCAGTAGAACTAATAAATACCCAATGTTTCCCCTTAACAATGACGTATAACAAGTAAATCGAATAATCGATTAACTGAACTGAAAGTAACTAGAATGTTAAGACAAACTGATAAGAAATTGCTGAAAATCAATAAAAACTTAATAGGAATTTATGTTAATGGAACAGTATACAAACGAATTGAGCCGTAAAAACAACGTTGCGAATTTAAACGAAAGTGTTAAGAAATTGTTTTTATTAATTTATATAAATAAGCTATTTTTTTGCGCAAAAACAGGATAATGAGATTATTAACATTGTGTGCAGTATTGAGTGTGATACTAGCAGTATCCTTGGCTAGTCCGGTTAAAAGACAAATCCGTGATGTATCCGATGATACATCGTCTTCGGAAGAGAAAGAAGAGATCAAAGTGAATAATATTGTGAAGGACAATAATGAAGACGGAGACAACAACTCTTCTGGTTCTAGTGAAGAAACGAACAAGAAGCATAATATTGTAAAAGATGATCCTCAAGAGGGTAGCAGTTCGGAAGAGGTGGCAGATAAACCCAAAGAACATCATGTTATAGTAGTGGTTGATGATGATGAAATTTTGGATATTAAGAAGGTAGCTAGTAGAACCAAAAGATCATTTGATATCGAAAGCACATCACATTCCCATAACCATTTAAAAGTTAAAGATGAAGGTTCTATTAAATACGATAAATATTTGAAATTGCAGCGACTTAGACGTGCTCTAGAGAGTGAAGATGGTTACTTGAAACGTTTAGGACGCAGTGCAGATACTTCGGAAGAGAATTCTTCTGAAGAGGAGAAAAAGGGTAAAAAACCTGCTGCCAATGAACAGCATAATGAGGCTGGCCATGAGAATGCTGCAGGAGCAGAAGAAAAACATGCTAACGCTCCAGCTGAAAACACAGATGCAGCACCAGCTGATAACGCAGAGGCCGCACCAGCTGAAAAACCAGATACTGCTCCTGCTGAAAAACTAGATGCAGCTCCTGCTGAAGCTGAAGCTAAACCTGAAGAGGAACACGTTAAAACTGATGCGGCCAGACGTAGAAGAAGTGTTGATGCCTCCAGCGAAGAAAATCAATCTGAACAGGAACAGGATGTTAATGAAGTCTTTATTTTCAGCAATGAAAATCAACAGGATTCCGAAGAGAATTTCAAAACTGATCAATTGAAAAACAATGAGTATGTACTTATAAAAGTTAATTATGATTTGGAAAATGTAGAAAAGTCTCTGGAGAAGAATACTTCAAATGAGGATTATGCCCAAGGATGTGGAGGCAGCAATGGTAATCAAGACGAAGATTCAAATGAAAATTCGAATGAAGACAATGAAACCACAAATAATGCACGATAAATTTTTGAAATTGTTAAAAACTATATATTTATAATTAAATAAACAATTATGTATAAATAAGTAAAATAAAATAATTTTTAAATAAAATAAAACATAAATAAATTTAGAATTTTTTAAAAATATTTTAAAATTTAAAAGATATTTAGAATACAATCATTTTGAAAAAACAAAAAATTAAACCAACTTAAGTACTTTTTCCCTATAGCCACAAACTTATTCATGTACTTAGTAAGTGCTACTAGTTTTTAAACACACGAAATGTTTTTTTATATTTAAATTTTTTTTTTTTGTTTCATTATCAAGGTTTTAACACATTTTTTTTCTTATCAGGGCTTTTTAGTCACTCATGCAAACATTAACATGTATGATGACTTTAATCATCTTCACTGTCAAAGTACAATTAATGAAAAAAAAAAAAAAAACAAAAAGAAATTGTAACATTAGTAAGAACAAAAATGCATACATATTTAACAAATAGTAAAGTAAATAGCTTTAGATTAAATTGAAGAGATAAGAAATATTAGAAAAAATATTAGACAATTTCACCAAACATTGTTTACTACCCGCCCGTCACATCGTAGATAAAAACCTACATACTTTATGGTTGTTATTATTAAAATTTATACCACAGGTTTTGTCAAAATTTTAACTGAGTACTCACTGTGATTCACGATCTTGGCTGGTGTACAAACGGAAAGTATACTGACTTTGTCAATCCATCTGTAACACATCCAAATATACATATGTATTTATTCCAGGTTCTTTTTTACTCCGGGGAAAAGAGGTGCTACCAATACCTCTAGTCTGCCGGGACTATAAACTGGTGATGATCAAATGTATCGTCGGCCTTTCCTTGGAATGATTTGTCATGGGGTCTAACCAGAGTACCATATAATCTGGCACTATGGGTGGCCAGTTGTCCGCAGGACTTGTCCTGGCTGATCAGTTGTGGTTCCTTCGGGATCCACGTAGTGGCTGTGGTTTATACCCAAATTCGCGGGGAGAGAATGTTGGTTCAAGGACGGATCCAAATGCCATATATGTCTGGATTCTCTTTCCGGTGCTGTTGCCATCTCAACAGATGAAACTAGGTGATGTGACAGAGCAACTTATGCTGGATTCCTTAACCCGTTGAGTATCTCTTACTCTTCGCAAAGTAGGGCGCCAGTATAGGTTGAGGAATTTTCAGGTTGACACTTAGTTGCTGTTGCCTGTCATTCCGTAGATCGTTCTTTATGGTCTGAGAATTGAACTGATGTAATTGGTGAACGATCGGGAAAGACTCCTCCGCCCGACAGGAAACAAGTATTGATTTAGTGGAACTTTTACTTCTCCTTCGGAACCAATAACGAACAATCGGGAAAGACTCCTCTGCCCGACAGAAGACTACTAATGATTTAGTAGACCTTTTACTTCAGGGAAGTTCTCGGTGCTGTTGGCATCTCAACAGAATTCATATTGTTTAATGCTACGCTACTTATGGTTGAGGTCCGTTCCCTCAACTTGTCGGGGCATTTATTGGGTTTATTGGTTTTTGGAAATATCTACATTCAGAGGGATCCTGATTTATTGGCTGGGTATTTCAGACTACCAAATACGTCTCTAGGTGCTATTGACGAATCAACAGAGCCATCTCAGTAGTGTGGTTGCACGGTCCTTAAGAAGTTAAGGTATGCACTGGAATGGGTCATTAGTTGATGGGGATTGCATTTTAAATAATGCAATCTTGCATGACATCATAAGGGTGGTCTCCTTCCGGTATACCGGAAACTCAAATAGTTCTCATGGAAACGATCCTGATTTAATGGCTGGATATTTCAGACTACCAAATACGTCTCTAGGTGATGTTGCCGAATCAACAGAGCCATCTCAGTAGTGTGGTTGCGCGGGCTTTAAGAAGTTAAGGAATCCACTAGAATGCGTCATTAGTTGATGGGGATTGCATTTTAAACAATGCAATCTTGCATGACATCATAAGGGTGGTCACCTTCCGGTATACCGGAAGAATGATTTCACCTGATGTTGGGGTTGTCGCCCCTTCTATTGACTTTAGACCAGTGATTGTTTTTTTTTCTTTCCGGGTTTGCATTGGGATTGATCCCATGCTGCCTGTCACTCCGCAACGGGGCTACTATGGCAAGAGATTAGATTTCTCCAGCAAAGTGCTTGTACATGGACCGGCTGAGCCATGTACAACCTGCGTTCTTTATAAAAGGATTCAGGGGCTCATGGTAGACCGTCTCTAGTCTACCCAGTGGATGAAAGAGACCACGGTGAAATAAGGCGGTCAAGGCAGGACTTCTCGTTAAGCACGCGACATGTATTACTCGAGGCTGTACGTGCTTAATTTCAGTTCAATATTATAGAAAACTCAAAAAATACCTCTTGATGAACAAAAAAGTACCAAAAAATCCTTTATTAGTCTTATTTTCCAGATTCATGATTCTAGATTTAATATTATAGAAAACTCAAAAAGTACCATTCTCATGTACTCAGAACTCAATTTTCCTTATTCATAAAAACGTTTTTATTTTATAACAAGTTTATAAACAAAATTTGCATACAAAGTTTGATTTATAAATAGTTTATAAAATATAATGTTTAATTTCATATTTCTTGGTTTAATATTATAAAAAACTCAAAAAGTACCAGTTAAAGAACGAAAAAAGTACCAAAAATAGTCCTTGGTACCGGATTTCCAAATTACATCCCCATTAGCATATTTAGTGTCACTAAATCTAACAATTTTTAAAATGTTATCAAAATTGGCTCAATAAGTTTGAATATAATCAAATTTTCCGATAATATCCACTTTGGTACTTTGTTCTCTCTGTTGGAGTAATAAAAATGTTATTCCAAAAAAATGTCAATATCGTAGTCCATCCATCATTAAGTATTCATAAGTATATGTCAATAAATAGGAAACAAGATTAGCTAAGGTTAGGTTGATAGGTAACTACATCAAATCGGAAGAAATACCCCCAGGCCACTATCGGGCTTGATGTGAGCTTTATTTCATGGAAAATATTTGTTGGTAAAAACGGAAAACTTATATAGTATTCACTGATTTTCAGAAACTCTGTTTCGTATTCACTATTTCGTTTCCGACTACTCCCGAGGCGTAGTCCATCTGTTATGACCCTAATTGCCTTTTGCCTGTCAGTGAATATGTTAAGTCCAGTATACGCCATATTTATTCTATCCTAATTTACGCATTCCGTTATTTCTCGGACTTTTACCTGGAAGCTAGTATAGTAATTAGGTAAACGGTGGTATATTTCAGTTTCTGGGTCTTCAATATAGAACTCCATGCCCACTTTTCCCCCAACTTAGAGCCATCCGTATAGCAATGGATTCCAACGGGTATTTGCTTTAATGTTCCGTTTGACCAAGACATTCTATCTGGAATCAGTGTTTGAAAGTTTCTGACATATTCTGTTTCTGGTATGTGATCGGGCACGTCTGATGATGTGTCCAGTATTCATTGATGACGTGTCTTATAGTGACAGTTCGCCAGTTCGTCTAATGTTATGAGTAGTTCGGCTGTAAGTGCAGCCTCATATCTTATAAATGCTTCAATGGGTGGAATATCTAGCAACGTTTCCAGAGCATTGATTGACGTAATACTCATGGCACCACATATAACCAAGCAGTATGTACGATAAACTCCATGTAGTAGTTTGATATTACATTTTTTCCAAAGAAGTCCACCAGATTATTGAAGCATAAGTTAGAATTGGTCTAATTACGTTTATACAAAGCCAATGCCCATTTCATGGTTATGATTCTCCTACATAGTGCCTAGTACAACAGATGTACCTTGTTCATCCTATCCCCTATGTGGTGTCTCAATTTTTTTTCGGTCAAAGATTACAGCTAAGTAATTCTATAAAGTAGATAAATTCGTTTAAAGCGGTTTCCATAGATCGTCCCTGTACATAAGCATACTGCTCTTATAAGGGGGCCTCGTCTAGTATACGGCTTTTAACTTTACTATCGACTATTCGTTCCAAGGTTTTAAGAAGGTAGGCCTTAAGTCTTATCATCCTCTCTTTTCTACTTTTCCATATCTTTCTTTTCTTCTTACAGGTATTTTTATAAAGGGATCAATTTGGACCCAAGTAAAGCTGCATTTTGGCTACCTGTGAAAACCTAACCTAAATCTTATCGGTCGATAGGATATAGCTGTCATATAACTAGGTTTTTCTGGTTTCGAATAAATATTACCCTTTCATCCTGCCATTTAATTGGTATATGTATGTCAATTTCAAGCATTCAGTGAACATCTTTGCTAGGTGTACGGAAACCAGTTCCTCCCCCATCTCCATACAACACGATGTGTACAACTAGTGAGCGTGGAGTCGTTTATACAGATTAGCTGTTAGTGTGAGCTGACAATAACAAATTTAGATCTTATTATATAGGCAAGTTCAAGTGAATATAATTATTTTACCACGGCGGTGATATTGAAGGCGAGTACTTACCACGCTCGCTTAGAAGTAGGGTGTTAGGTAAGTACTAACAATGATCGCCTGCGAATAAGGAGTTAACATTTAAACACGCCTTTGTAAAAAAAAACACATTCAAAAACAAAATGTTAAGGCTTAAAAAGTAAGTGCTTACATATATAGTAATTTGTATGTCAATACCAGACTACTTCTATGTAATGCAACTGGTATGTAGTAGTCATTGAAAAGAATGTTTATGAGTAAGTACAAGTCATTGCCATGTGTTTTCCTGGTTATCTATGCTAAATTTTACTGTATTGCTTAAATAACGTATTCATTCTTTTGCACTGTACTGTAAAACGCAAAACTTTTCTGGAAGCTTTTTTCGCATTTTTTCCACTTAAAAAGTTTATTGACTTTTTGAGGAAATACATGTTTTTTGATTTAAAACACAAACGTATACAATTGAAAATTTTGCTACGGAATTCATTTGGGAAAATCTATTTAGTTTTTTTTGTTTTATTTCAATTCTTTGTCTGGCAAACAAAAGAACTTCGTTCAAGTGGTCTAATAATATACTAGATCTTGGCAAATAGTGTGTGTTAAGACAACAAGAAATAAGTAAACATTAAGACCAATAGGAAATGAAAGAAAAATAGTATGATAAAGAAGTATCGCTAGAGCTTTCAGATGTTTAACCGATTATATTCGCTAATATTCAACTAACGTTTTCACAAGAATCGGGTTTTTGCAGTGGAACCACTAGGAGCTTAATTAGCTACATTTTACACTTCTCGATGCTACAACAACAACCTAATGTAACCTAAAAATAAGCGCTATATGTAAAATATCTAATTATTAACGAAATTTTTCGATGTTTGTTTCATTATAGGACCTTGTTCTTATATATCATAGATCTAATAAATGAGTAAATTGTTATATTAAACTCTGGGAGAATCGGTCCAAAATTAAACCAAACATAATCCAAAACAACTCGAAATAACGAAAGTGATTTCTCTTTTTTTAAAGTTTGAAAATCTAATTATTTGATTTTATTTATTTCCAATTGGGTATTTCTGGTTATAAAAAAACAAACAAATCTTGCACATAAAATTTCTACACGGAGTGTAAACAAACCGAAAAAATAGACCTATCCCAAAATAACTTAAATTGACCCAAAATAGAATCTCTTGACACACGCTACACACAGATGGATGCCAAAGAGTGATGAAAACACGCAACTAGAATTAAGAAATTTACAAAATATATGTACATACACATACATACTTATTTGTTTAAAAATTTATTTACGAAATAAACTACTTAAAAAACTATTACTGCCACAAGAAAAAAAAAAAAACTATAAAAAACTAATGATTTTTTTATTCAAAATCTTTAGAGAGCAACGGAAAGAAAGAAAGAATGAACAAAATTTCGAATAGACCACGAAGGAATGAAATTGTAACTTTAAAAAATAATCAGTCGCTAAATTGCAGTGTAAAATAGTAAACGTGAAAAATTAAAAGAAAAAACTAAAATCGAAAATTTTTTGTGGAAAAAAAATTTTAAAAAATGTAAAATATTTTATAAAAATAATATTTAAATAAAAAATAAACTCTATAAAATTAAAGTGCAAAGTCATTTGCTTTAAAATAAATTATAAAACAATTAATATAAAAAATATATAAATATTTTATTTCAAATATTTTAGTGATCATTACGTAACTTTAAAAATTTTGAAACCTTTTTTCAAACTAAGTAATTTTAAAGTTTCAGAATGTGTGTTTTTTTATAAAACAAAAAATAAATATAAACAAACCGGCATTTAATAAAATATGAGCAAATATATTTGCTCATAATTTTATTTAAAATAAATAATGTTTTAACAATTTCATCTCATAACAAAATTTTATATATTTTATAAATTATATTTGCAAAGAGTGTCATGAATTAAGAGAAATAATTTTAAGAAAACTCTTTTCAAACAAATGAATGCTCTTAATTTATAAAAATCTGGTTAATGAGTGATTTTTTAAAATTTTGTATACCCTACACCACTATAGTTGAAAGAGCATTTTATGTGCTTGTGTTGATATGTATTACACTTAAATATTTCGGTGCCTATAATAAAAGCACTACAGTTCTGAAAGCTCAAGTTTTGTTTGAAATCTATCAATGATAGCTCATTGTCCCCTTATGGCCCCGTTCCTCTTTGTTTAAATGTTACTAAAATCAGTAGAAATCACTTAGATCTACATCTTAACTCACCTTGGTAATCCACTCTTTAAAATTTCAAAATACATATTTATGGACCATAGATGAAGAATGTTAAAATTGTTCTAAATCGGTCCAAGATTTTAAATAGTGCCCTACAAATAATCAGTCGTAATTTCAGTAAGTGATTTAGTTATACGACAATCTTAATAAAATTTAGTGGAAGTAAATTTCAATTACACACAGAAGTCGAGTGCTTTGCGTGCCAAACTTCCTAATTTCACGGTGGTACTATTTCAACCACAGAATGAACTATACGCGACCCACCACGGCACCTTTGTGACTTGCAAAGTCTAGCTTTGCCGACAAGCAGGCTTGGGGGGTAATAATTACATTTTCAATTACAATTACATTTGAAGTAATTGTAATTGAAGCTTTACTAATTACAATTACTTTTAATTGTCATTGAAGTTTTGCCAATAACAATTATTTGTAATTGTAATTAAAGTTTTGACAATTACTATTACTTGTAATGGTAATTGAAGTTTTGCCAATTATAATTACTTGTAATTGTAATTGAAGAATTACAATTACTTACAATTACTTGTAATTGTGAATTTTGCTCCTTATAATTACATGTAATTTGTAATTAGTAATACCTTAATTACAATTACAAGTAATTTTAATTGGAAAATTTCAATTACAATTACAAGTAATTGCAATTGGCAAAACTTCAATTACAAGTAATTGTAATTGGTTATTGGACAATTACAAGTAATTGTAATTGGAAAAATTTCCATTACAATTACAAGTAATTGTAATTGGTTATTGCTCAATTACACATTACAAGTAATTGTAATTGACCATGTAATGAATTACTTTGTGTAATCATTACCCCCTGCCGACAAGCTATCTATTCTCTGACCAACACTGCCTCGTTGTGTGACTTCCGAGATGCAAAAACATTAATACCGTTTACAACTATATAGATGCAACAGTATCAAGGGAAATAATTAGTAGGGAAGTAATTGGTAGATGATTTAGTTATACGGCAATCTTAATAAACTTTAGTGGAAGTAAGTTTCAATTACATATAGAAGTCGAGTGCTTTTTGTGCCAAACGGCCTAATTTCACCGAACTATACTCGACCCACCACGGCACCTTTGTGAAAGAACACGCAGTTTGAAATATTCAATAATGGCTTTGCCTGTCATTGTCTCTGACCATCGCTGCCCCTTTGCTAAACTTCCGAGATGCAAAAATATCACTTCCGTTTAAAACTATACAGATGCAATGACTTCTGTTGATTTGGCCACAGGATCTGGGGGAGTAATTTATATAGGTGTGGAAACAGCACCGAAGCTATCCCGATATATAGATTTCACCTTGCAATAGGGTTTAACCCAAAATTTTCTTCCAGCATTTTGGATCCAACCACCGCCACCACGTGCACCCCGAAGGGATCTCTCCAATACTCGGATACTCTAACCTATGAGCCGCCGGTTCTCGTGGTATCATATAGGATAGGTTCTCTGGTTCGAGGCCCAGTCAAATGATTCCAAGGAATGGCCGAGAAGTCAAATGGCATCACCAGTTTATAGTCCCGGCAGATAAGTCCCTCTTTTACCCCGAGATTGCAATAACACCAAACCATATAAAGCCTGCTTTAGAAAATATGTTTTTCGTCAATAAATCACTTAAATAATAACTGACATTACTTGGATTAAGTTACTGTAAGTTGAAAGTAGGAAGTATTTATGTATTACAGCACGTCGGAAAAAACACACCCAGATCACTAACGGACTTGTTGTATGCAACTTTCATTCAAAATGTTGGTGGAAAACCCTTATATACATATCTATCCAATGTTCAGAAACTCCCACGATATTTTGGATCCAATTTATACAGAGAATGTATACCAGCGTTTCACTGTTCTCTCCATGGTGGAGTGTTTTATTGCAATAACACCAAGCCATATAAAGTCTGCTTTAGAAAATAGGTTTGTCGTGACTTGAGATAATAACCGACATTACTTGGATTGAGTTACTGTAAGTTGAAAATAGGAAGTATGTATGTATATATTACATCACATCGGAAAAAAATACACCCAGATCACTAACGGACTTGTTTAAGCAACTTTCGTTCAAAATTTTTGTGAAAAACCCTTATATAGAGCTCTATGGAAGGAATTACAATCCAATGTTCAGAAACTCAGTTTCCAAGACTTAGCTCCTTAGATTTTTCAATCAGTATTTCTGAGGTAAATTTTATCCGTTATAACATCGTTCCCAAGATGTTTTGGATCAAATTACGACAGAGAATGTATTCCATTGTTTTACTGTCCTCTCCATGGTGGCGTCTTCTAGACATTTCGACAAACCAAAAAGTGTCGTAATGTTCATGAACGTTATTATACAAAAAGTCCATGGATTACAAATAGTTCATATATCAAGAAAAACCTCATTTCGGGAAGTCGATTTAGCCATGAATTTATTTGTTCAGAACAGGCTTCTCGTTTTTGTTCTTGAAGGATTTTCTCGCCCATGTTCATGTTAACTTTTTCAAACTCCATAATGATGAGATTGCAACTCGAGGAGTATTCAGTTATGGCCTCTTGCAGTCCCATATGGTTCTGGATTTAAACTTATAAGCAGTTATCGCCCCAATTTCTTCTAGGTGTCGAAAAATATGTTAACCTCTGTTGGCGCCATATTCAATCGAAACCATTTTACACATTCCGTGATACCACGGAAGCTACGGTTGTGGTTTGGTGGACGTTAGTATATTTCGGTCTACGGGCTTTTAATGTTGATCCTTAGACCCGTTTTTACACCCAGTTTAGAGCCATTCATGTAACAATATATTACCGCAGAAGTTTTCTCTATTGTTCCTCTTGACCAATAGCAATCTGGTTCGTCTGTTAGATATGTTCAATATATATTGATGATGTAGTCGCTAAGCAGGTTATAGTCAATTCGCCTAAAAACAAATAGTTGCTCGGCTATAAGAAATGCCTCATATCTTATATGACTAGCAAATTTTATTAAAGCTGTGGTTGACGTAGAGCACATGGCCTCACTTACACTCAAGTAAATATACCCGGATCTCATTGTAATGGTATTATGTTACACATTTTGTCCAAAACATCATGAATGTTAATGCAGTTTGCTATCGAAGGATTACTCTGTGTAGTATAGAAACTCATTTATCACTGTTTCCACTGATTTATTCTTTTCAAAGCATGTCACTTATATTTCAGTTATTTGTCCGATATTCAGCTTTAAATCATAATTTTGACCAGAATAATTGTTTTATAAACCAATGTGCAATAGTATAAAGTACTCTCCGCTATAGTAGTATAGGTAAAAAGTTTTTGTAAATTTAAAAAATCGCTCAAATTTTCACATTCTTTTTCTAATATGTGTTCTCTTAAACTAGCCACCAAAAATAATCTCTTAAAATTTTCAACATAATATTTACTCTAGACATTAAAGAGTTCCAATTTTATATTATAAAACAACTGAAAATAAAAAATTAAATAAAAAAAGACAAAAATGCCTGAACCAAATTATCTAAGTCTCTACACGTTTACACCGGAACCACCGAAAAAATCCCCCATCATTAAATTGTCATGTGGCATCGGTGATACCGATGGTTTCCCAGCATTTGATGTTGATTCTGAACAATACGCTGCTAAAGATGACTCAAAATGGGGTTTCCTCATTACGGGTGGCGCTGAATTTCACATGCCGCTAACCGTATTTCAGGTGAGTAAACATCAATGAAACAGCAACAAAAACAACGTTTTTTTAAACGTAAACATGCGAATTCAAATATGTATCTCACACAAACATATCTGCATAATATTTGCATATCAAATATACTACATATGTATATGTATGTATTTATGTGCAAATTTACACACACTCAACCACACGTGTACAAGTGCTATTGTTTATTCACATCACCCAGCAGTTCGGGGTAGCTGTCCTCAAACTAGTTACCCCGCATAATTTATATTAATATATTCCTTTCGATAACTGTTCAATAGATTAGTTCTAATGTGTTAAATAACATGTTTACTACAACAAATTATTTTAACTGATTACACTCTAGATTACTTAGAGACACTAAGGTAACTGATATGTTGAATAACTTAAAAATTACTAATTCGAGTCAACCAAGTAGCTAGATAATTGCGAACAGGACTGCCTTTTTTACAGAGAATCATCGGGCCAATTTTCTTGGATTTCTTAAATAAAATTTCAAAATATTTATTTGTCTGTTTTGAAAAATTTGTACAGGGTTGTTTTAAAAGTTGTGTTTATGGGGATATATTTGCAAATCCACTTTCAAAACTCTACATAATTAAAAGAGTTATGTTTTGTTCGTAATCGATAAACTCAGGATCTACCGAACCTAATAGAACGAATTTTCAAATATACATACATATGTTTAAGAGTAAATAGCAGTGTTCCTGTGAACTTGTATGTTTGTCCGATTGATGGTGCCGGAGTTTTAAATATTAGTTAATTACACCAAAAACGATGAAGCGATAACTTCAGAAGTTTAGGGCTACATAAAAATGACATAAAAATATATGCCAAACTTAGGACCTGAAACGCGGGCTGCGTTCAGCTAGTATCTAATAAATAGTCTGGACGATATTTATTCTCTATACCATTGACCGGATAGCAAAATTTTAATAACATTGCATACTAAATTTTGAAATACCCATAATGTTTGGATCACCTATTTTTTCAGCAGCTGTGTACATGACAAATTTTTCATTTATTTATTTTTTATAACCTCTACCAGTGAATGTTTTGGGTATTTGATCTCTGTGTTTTTTCATCTAGTTTGTAGAGCTGGAATGAAATAAGTCAGTAGGTACCTAAAAGAATTGCCTTTAAAAAAAGTACGCAAATAATCATCAATAAAACAAATTTAATAAATAAAAGTATGCTTTAGTTGTTGTATCTTTAGTGATAAACAGGGATGGAAAATTATGTACTAATGTTATTTTTACTACCACCATCAAAGTGCATTGATTTTGTTATTCCTTTAGTTATTCAAATTGGAGATATATATAAGTAAGTAAGTCTGTTCAAAGCACGATAGAACCAACGATAGAACAAACGAGACGATTTTGATTTAATTCTTTAACTCTAAAAAAGTGACGATAAAGCACCCGATTGTTCGCCAAAGCTTATGGTAAATATAGTTCCATAGGATGCGGAACATGGGTATATGTGTATCGGAAGCACTAATTTTGAAGATTAAAGATATGAAAATTGGCAGCTACTCAAGCATGAAATTCAAAACATAACCCAGTCATATAGCTAAATCGACACCAAAGCCACGCGTTCCCACAATTGGATATAGTATGTTTCGGAACGACCCGAGTCTTACTCGGCCAAAGATTGTCAACTCAGCGAAAGCTATATCAGAAGATCTGCTGGAGTCTGGCCAGACTATCATGGAGAACTTCTGCCGAATACAAATGATATGTTTTTGATCAAAAACCGCATAGAATACTCGGCACTAAACTGGGAAATAAAAAAGTCATAGCAATCTGCATTGAAAATACGGAAACCAGGTGGAAGTCCGTTCTATTATAAAATTCAAAACATAACCCAGTTAAATAGCTAAATCGATACCAAAGCCACGTGTTCTCACATTTGGAATGTCAGAAGGTCTGCTGGAGTCTAGCCAGACTATCACGGAGAACTTCTACCGTATACAAATGATATGTTTTTGACCAAAAACCGCATAGAATACTCGGCACCAAACTGTTAAACAGAACAGTCATAGCAATTTACATTGAAAATCCGGAAACCAGGTGAAAGTCCATTCTATCTCGGAATGTGAAAATAGATTGGTCTGAATATGGCGCCAACAGAGATTAACATATTTTCCAACATCCAGGAGGCAATTACGTAGATATCAACTGATAAAGTTTAATCAGTTAAAGTATTAGACTGTAAGAGAGCCATAAGCGATTACTCCTCCAGTGCTAATCTCTACATCGCAATTACCAGGACACTCGGGAATAATCTACAATAAATGATTAAGTGTACTTGCTATAAAGGGAAGGAAGTTTAAGCAAGTTTATCTAAGGAATGCAAAACCGTTCTACGCAAAGAATACCGAAGTAAAATAATGGGTGAGGGAATAACTACTTACAATAATGGAAGGGTAGTTCTAACTACTTAAACCTTGTTGGGAACAGAATTCTCCTCAAAATGAATAAGTCCGAGGTGAGTTTAGTGAGAACACATTTAACGGAGGCAACTATTCAAATTTGGACGGTCGGAATATAGAGCATGTGGAGAGGATATTGAAACTTTGGAGTACATTCTCTGTCTTTCTTGCAAAATTTTTGTTGATAAAAACAAGAAACTTATATAGTGATCAGCGATGCTCAGAAACTTAGTTAACTGGACTTAATTCCTAAGAATTTTGCAATCAGTATTCAGTGTAAGGAATGTTATCTCAGGAATAATATCACTTCCATGATACCTGGATCTAATTTCAAAGAAAGCCTGACATTGGCAGAGAAAGTACTTTAGAGATTCATTGTTCTCTCTACATGCATTCGTACGTTCAATCTTGTAAAGTTGTTCCCGTAATTCTGTGTGTCCATTCAGAATACAACCTCTGAAATGCTCATTTTGAGGAGGCTTTTAGTCCTGCTCTCGTTAGAGTCACTCCATAGGATCTTTGTGATTCTACCCACCGTTTCATAATTCCAAGAGGCCTTTTAGGATTCTCACGTTTACATTTTTAATTCAGCACTCGTTTCGTCAAATGGTTTTCGGTTGATGTCGTTCCTGTTGGCGCCATATTTATTATAATCCAATTTGCGCATACCGTTATTGCACGGTCTTCTGACTGGAAGCGGATTCCTACGAGTATTTGCTTGAATGTTGCGCTTAACTATGACATTCCATCTGGAATCAATGTTTCAAAGTTTCCGACATATTCTGTGTCTGTATGCGATCGGATAGATCCGATGTTTGTGTATAGCCTACCAATGTTTCCAGTAGATATTGATGTAGTGTGCCTTTGGTCAGTTCACCTGACCAAAGCGGCTGTAAGTGCCTCTCCATATCTTTTATATGCGTATATGTTTCAATGGGTGGAATATCTAGCAACGTTTCCAAAGCCTTGGTTGACCTAGTGCTTATGTTACCACTTATACCCATCGAAATGAAATTCAAATATCTTGGAAGCGATGTTGTTTCAAATATTAAATTCCTCGGGAATACTGATTGGAAATTTCTAGGGAACTACTTGTAGAAAACTTAGTTTCTGACAATAATTCCACACAAAAGGCCCGTGTATTTTTTCTGATCTTTTATAATGTACATCCTCCATTAAAAATATAAAAAATTCTTAACGCATTAGATTCTTAAAATCGGTGAACAGCCATATCACTGTACAGACTCATATCAAATAACATTTTACCAAGTATGTATATCGCAGTACGTTTTGTAATACCACAAATCCCAACTTTGATTTCCATATTTACAAATTCTATTCTGAGTGTGTGCTTGATAAACAAATCAAGCAGAAGTTCTAGATAAGCCGTTATTTATTTACACATGTTCGTGTATTTATTTACCCATGTGTTTCATTTTAGTTCATAACTGTGTATTTTACCTTAACGTTAAACAGTATGGAAAATCAAAAGAATCTATAATTTTTTTTTAAATAAGTCTACTAAAAATCACGTAGCTAAAACCTAAAATGCATAAAAATATTCTTTTTAATTTTTCGCCTTTTATTATAATGTTTTCTTTTATTTAATTAAATATTCCTCTTATATTTTCCCATCAAATGAAACGCTATAGGTCATCAATGAAAGTTTAAAATAAAATTTTTATTGGAAATTTTTTCCTAACAAAATCAGAAGGTTGAGTAAAAAAATGCTAACATAACCGTTAAGTTGTTAACATCCTTTTTCCGAATGAACAAACATTTTGATAAAGAAATATTTTCAATGGAAATTTTTCAAAAGCGAATGGCTTTGTATTGAAAAGTGGACGCAGGATGTTACAAGATGTTATTTAGATATGTATGTATGTTGCTGTGAGAAGAAGGGATTCCATCAGAATTAAACGCTTGCTTAAATTAAATTATAATTAAAAGCTAATCGAGAGTATTTTACTTTGAACGGATTTTTTTGGCATATTTATTACCTCTGATTGGAATTTTACAAAAACTAAATACTGATTTTAGAATTTCATCAAAACAAACATTCACAGTGTTTCAGAGGGTACTTAAGATTCCAAAAGAATGTAAAATTGACAGTCAAGTTTCCGAAATTAAATAAAAATTTAAAATGATTTTCGGAAGAATTAGGATTCCTGTTCTATAGTCTAGTCTATAGTCTAGTATATAGTCTAGTCTATAGTCTAGTCTATAGTCTAGTCTATAGTCTAGTCTATAGTCTAGTCTATAGTCTAGTCTATAGTCTAGTCTATAGTCTAGTCTATAGTCTAGTCTATAGTCTAGTCTATAGTCTAGTCTATAGTCTAGTCTATAGTCTAGTCTATAGTCTAGTCTATAGTCTAGTCTATAGTCTAGTCTATAGTCTAGTCTAGTCTATAGTCTAGTCTATAGTCTAGTCTATAGTCTAGTCTATAGTCTAGTCTATAGTCTAGTCTATAGTTTAGTCTATAGTCTAGTCTAGTCTATAGTCTAGTCTATAGTCCAGTCTATAGTCTAGTCAATAGTCTAGTCTATAGTCTAGTCTACAGTC